CTGGACCCGCTGGAGCCGCGGTGACCCGGGTAACCGGGGACACCCGGGGGCACAGCCAGCTTCCCCCACCCGTGCCGGGGTTTCGGTGGCGTTGCATCACGCTTCATGCCACCCTGTGAAAATTAGGAAGTATTAATTATGGCTTTGCGGCGGCAGCGGGGAATTCAGCTCCCGCAGATGTGACTAATTACCTGCCTCTCCCCTCTCTGCAGAGTCTGCCCAGCATCCTTCCTTCACGTTTGAGACGGAGACCTCCTCCGACTGGGGGCCCCAGGACTCCGACTCCAGCGCTGCCCGCGGCTCCCCGCACTCCCCCAGGGCCTTCTGCAAGGCGGTGGTGAAGGGGCTGAGGAGCAACGAGCCCGTGCAGTGGGAAGTCGCCTTTGATATCCGCCCTCTCTTCCGAGAGCGGGAGAACCAGGCGGATGGCGAGGCGGACCTGTGGAGCGAGACCTTCCACCACCTGGCAGCCAAGTCCGTCATCCGGGACTTCGAGCAGCTTGCCGAGAAGGAGTGCGAGATCGAGCACGGTAACGCGCAGACCCTGCCCTGCCTCGGCGAGGGGCTTTCCAGCAGCTTCAGCAGCCTCTCCGCTTAACACAAGGGCAGGCAGTGGTGAAATATTAGGGAATGTCTCACCTAGTTCCCGAATGCCAGCCCTGTCCAGCTGCCTTGGGCTTTTCTCCTGCTCCTGCAGCCTTGCTGCACGTTAACACGCTCGAGCTCGTGCTCCTTCATGCTCCTCTGCTTCACACGTCGGGTGACGGTGATTATTTTTGAGGGTTTAATCTCTTGGAGCTGGGAGTTGGCATCAAACTCAGAGGGTCCAACAGCAGCCACGCATCAGTGCTCCGGGCTGCACGTGTCCCCGGGTCTTGTCAAACTTCTGCTCCATGAAACGCAGCTGTGTATGTTAAATAGGAGCAGGAGAAGCAGTAGGCAGAGTTTAGAGGGATACAGTCCCTGCTGGGCATGGAGCCCAAGCCTGGAGGCAGGAACTGAGTCTGAAGGGTGAATGGAGCCCACGGGGCACGTGGGCTCTAACTGGGGTGTCTTCTCATGTGGCAGGATCCGGGCGACGGTACCAGGTCAACGCTGTCCACACCAGCAAGGCCTGCAACGTCGTCAGCAAGTACACAGCGTTCATGCCGGTGGACCTGAGCACCAACACCTACCTGCCCACCGTCGTCGAGTACACCCACACGGGTAACGGGGGGCTGGTGGAGGGGCGAAACGTCTTGGGAGGGAGGGTGTCACCTGAGAAGCCTCGCTCGGAGCAAGCCCGGTGAAGCCATGGCTCGATTGAGCACCACACCAACACACCCAAGGCCATGGCTGAGCCCAATGGCGCGCCTGCCACGCTTGGTGGCAAGAACCTCCTCCCCATGGCCAGACAAAAGGTCTACTCTTAGGTCTGGGTGCCCAGAGATGACCAAGCTCATCAGTCTGCTGGGTTCGTTGCCATCGTGCGTGTGCCAGTCCCTCTCTAACGCTGGCAACTCCCTTCTCTCATGCCAAGGGGCAGCATCCAAGCAGGGCAGCCAGCGGAGCCTGAGCTCGGGAAACAGAAGACATCGTGGCTTTTCCCCTGGACGACCCCACTCAGCTTGCGACCAGAACGGAGACGATGGATTTTACGGCATGAGTAAGATTCCCTGGGGTTTTGCCTCGTTCCTGGTGTTAGAGATCTCAGTGGTTTAGTCTATGAAGGGACTTCTCTGTTTTTTTGTTTTGGTTTGTTTTTTTTTCTTCTGCCTTCCTCTGTGAACATGGTGCTACCAGACACGTGTCTGGCTGGAGACCATCTCCTTAAATGGGGAAGGAGCTGGAATTGACCCTGAAGCTCCCAAATCGCAGACAGTGGCTGCTGACAATGCTTGGGAGTTAATTGGCAGCCGGAACACAGATAACATGAGGGATGAAACCGGGTGTAATTAGAGGCAAGGGGATGTGAGACACTTGCTTGTCACCAAATCCGCTGCTAATGAAGACGAGTCGGATCGCACCTCGTCTGGCATTGCCAGGTCTGCAGCTGAATTAAAATCACCCCTGATCCGGCTCATTAAGCTGGTAATGCCACGGAGAGGGAGAGCGGCCGTGCCGCAGCCCGGCGCGGTGGCGATTGCGGCCGGGCGGCGTTGCTGCTGCGGTTCCTCCGTTGCAGATGCGGAGGAGAGCAGCCTGTCGCCCTGCAGCACCCCTTCCTCCTCTGGCTGGGAGCGCTGCGGTCTCCCCGAAGGTAGGGGGAAGAGCTGATGGTGCTTGTCAGGGTGCAGGTGCGTCGAGTCCGTGATTCGGGCTCTTCACCCAGTATTTCTGCTGAGTTTTGGGGGGTGGTTTATAAACCTTATGACCTAAAATTAGGCCTTTGGTGTAGATTTCCTCCAGGTTCGTTTTTGGGAATTTCGTTATCTGCGTAGGAAAAATGAGGCAAGGGGAGAGCGAGGATTTTGCCAAAGACTCGGCAGCAGAACAAAGCACCCCATGTCCCAGCACGTAGACTTTCACTCTCCTGTAGCACCTCATTTCACTCCTGCCCTTCTGTTTCTTCCCAGGGCCACTACAGAGCCTGTCTGCTTCCTCTGCACAAGCCCAAAAATCCATCGAGAGCCTCTTTGCTGCAAGGTATGGGCCGGCTCAACCTTCCCCTCACCTTAGCAGATGTGTTGCACCTCTGTGGGTCCGATGCAAACACAAGTGAGGGGGAGGGAAGGGGCACCCCCGGGTTAGCAGCCGGAGCCAGGACCGAGCGTGATGCCAGTGGCTGGGGTGGGGATGGTTTTCAGAGGGGAGGGTCGGCGTCAGGAAGGGCATGGAGGTAACAGCCGCCTTTTCCGTCTTCCTGCAGGCTGACCTTCAATAAAACCAGGTTGCTGACTCGAGCTGCCAAAGGGTTCATGAGTAAGTCTCCCAGCAGAGTGAGCGAAACCAGCTCCGAGGGCGACAATGAGAACACAGACTACCTTCCCCTGGTGAGCAGCTCATTGCCACGTCTCGCTGGGGTCGTGTGGTCACTGCAGGGGCACAGAGGACGGGAGGATCCCCCCGGATCCTGCCTCTTGCTGTCTCTGATGGCCACGTCTGATGGTCCGCTCAGAGACGGAGAGCTGCTCCATCTATGCATGCCTTTTTCCTGAACTTCCCAGAAGTGGTTGGTGTCTCAGAGCTTCTCTCTGTGCCCACCGTTCCTTGCAGGCATCTCTGCAGCTGGCTTGCGGTGCCTTTCTCATGAACTCGGCCTTCTGCGATGCCATCAACATCCCCATGGAGAAGCTGAAGTGGACATCTCCCTTCGCCTGCCACCGCCTGGCCCTCAGCCCCTCCAGCTCCTACAGCACCAAGAAGGTCAGTCCCTCCAGGGAGCACAAAAGCCTCAGCTCTGGCCAGCGGCTCCTGGTTCCCAATGGACACGGGAAGAGTCCCACCACCAGAGACATGGCT